TGGCACTTGAAAGAGATAGCACAGCTCCACGGGGCAGTGTAGTGAATAAGAACTGGACAGATGGGAGGACTCCATGAGGAGGCAGTTTGGGGTTTTGTTTGTTTGATTTGGTTTTTGAGGCAGGATCTCGTCCTGTAGCCTCAGCTGGCCAGGCTGGCTTTGACCTCACAGAGAGCTGCCTCCTGAGTGCTGGGACTAAAGGTGTGTGCCACCACACCTGGCATAAAGAGGCATTTTACACACATGCACACACATACATGTGCACACACACACCCCTACACACACACACTCAAGCATGGCGTCATGTCAGTTTTTCTCATGCAGCTAAGTGTGGAACCTTCATATAGTCAACAGTTCTGAGCCCCAACAATATGCAAAGCCCCAGCCAGGCCCTGGGATACCTGGGTAAGGTGGGTTCCCCATGTGCAGAGTCCATTCCAGCCTCAGAGCTGATAGGAAGCTGAATCCACCTTTATTGGCTTGCAAGGGTGGTTATCAGTAGAAGGGCACATGGGGCTGTCATAAAGATGCCACTCAGAAAGAGTAGAGTGGGGCTTTGTCCCACCTCCTCACATGCTGGTGACCTAGTGACACCTCAGGGTGTTTCATGATAAAGAGGGCAGGGAAGGTCTGAGGCCTGAGCTGACGTGCTTCCCACTAATCCTGGACCCTGAGGGGGTTTATCTGACTCCCAGGTGGTGGAGGGTTCCTGGGGGAGACTATACTATGCTGCCCTCCAGTATAGCCCTTGAGGCTCTATGCTCCAACAGCCAGCCTGGCCACATTGACATTCTTCCCCTTCATGAGGGGGTCACAGGGGTCTCCGAGGTGTTTTTATTCTTTATCTTGGAGTCTGAACCTCAGAGGCTCTGAGGTCCCTGACCCCTCATCTCGCCTGCCACCAGGAGAGTCTCTCACTGTTTTATCTGAGGCATTTAAAGTGCCACTGAGTGACACTTTTCTAGTCAAGGGTACAGACTTTCAAATGTCCTCATCAGCCTCCTTTACAAAATTTGCCCCACCCCCACCCAGGCTAGTTGCCTGGCTTGTGCTTGGAGAACTATGGTCAGACCCCATCCAAAGAGAGGCAAAAACCCACTCTGGGTAGGTCTTACTCTGTACAGAGCAGGTATCTGGCAGAGCCTGGAAATTCTGGAAGTTACTGTATGGCCTCCCTAGATTCAAACTGTAAACTCCAATCCTGCAAGTTATCCCCAATCCCAAACTTGTCCTGCTGCTGTTCTCTGTCCCCTCTACAGCACACTCAGATGAATGTCCCTCTGTTGATGTTGGTATAGTGGTGAGCATAGCTGCCTAGCTGCCTTTCAGATGAGTGTCCCTCCACACTGCCCCACAGATGACATCCTTGGAGCATGAGGCTCACCCTCCTCCCCTCCAACCTTATATGGAATCACACGGTCCTCAGCCCCCACCCCCCAATCCCCCACCATGGGCTACCAGAAGCGCTCTGGCTTTTTTATTTTTGGCCTTCTCACTAAGAAACAGCTTCATTTCTCACACTCGATGACCCTCTTCAGACTTCAAGACAGGCTGCAGCCAGGTCACAGGCCCTTGCTCCTGCAGCTCTTTCTCATCCATTTCCTTTCCCAGAGGCTAGTGGAGAGGAAAAATGAGGAAGTAACTTGGGAGTTGGATAGTATGCCAGGATTTGCAAGCGCCTTCCCTGGGGAGACTTGACTATAACCTCCCCCACCGCAACACACACACACACACACACACACACACACACACCACACACACACACACACACACACACACACTTTGCAGATATAAAGAAATGACATGCTGGTTATTCAGATTGTCTGGCTCCTGAACATGTCTTCCCTAACTTCTACAAGTGGAAGGAATCTCCCACAACCAGGCTATAATTAGTGAGACCCCATCTGTGTGACCCAGAGCAAGACAGGCCTACACTGGGAACCCAGCTCTTCCCAGGCCCACAACTTTGAGCGGGTGATGTACAGACACTTTGGAGACAGACACTCCCAAGACCCATGCTTTTGCTTCCCTTAGACTTTATCTCTGCTATTTGGACCCCTCAAACTTTCCCAGAGTCATGGGGATTGACAGGTCAGGTGACTGAAGGACCTGGCAAGAGTCTTCTCCCCACTCCAGTTTGCCTTCTTTTCTACCAAAAAGTAGGGGCACAGTGGCAGAAAATTTCCAATGGGTCAAGGTTTTTTTCCTCCAGTTCCTGGGGAGCTGAGGCTAGATTCCTGTTTCTGAGGGACCATGGATTAATTTTAACAGATGCCAAAGGCTACCACCATGTAAAGGTAAGTGGGGGCAAAGGTTGACTATGAGAGTGAGGTGAAACACAATGGTGAGCACCTGACTAGCATGTGCTAGGCCGGTTCCCTCCCCAACACCACAGAAGAGAAAAAAGTTGACCACAGGTTCTGCAAGAACCACTTAAATTAGGTACATTTCTAGCACTTCCCTTTACAATGGTTCCATTTAAAAAAATTTTTCTAGCCAGGCGTGGTGGTATATGCCTTTAATCCCAGCACTCCGGAGGCAGAGGCAGGCAGATCTCTATGAGATCAAGGCCAGCCTGGTTTACATAATGAGTTCCAAGCCAGCAGGGGCTAGTGGAAGACCCTCTCTCCAAAATACCAAAAAATATTGTTTTTCTTTCTTTTTGGGGGGAGGGGGGTATGAGTGGGGGTTGGTTGCACTCACCACAGTGCATGCATGGTCAGCTGACAACGGTCTGGAGTTGTTGCTCTCCTACAATGGAATCCAGGGATTGAACTCAGGGTGTCCGGCTTCAATAGCTTTTACCTACTGAACTGTCTCACTAACCTTCCTTTTTTTTTTAAACAATTCTTTGTGCTTCAAGCATTTTTGCTAATCCATTCTGGGTCTCTTTTCAAAGCTTTTGTGAATCCTGTGATGGTTCTAGGAATTTGTATTTTCTTTTCATCATTTTTGCTCATTTGAGCAAAATCAGCCAGGTATGGTAGCACACAACCATAATCCTAGCACTTGGGCGTATGAGACAGGAGGACTCCTGTGAGTTCAGAGCCAGTCTAGGCTACATAAGAAGTTTAAGGCTAGCCTGGAATGCATAGTAAGATCTTGTCTCAAAAAGAAAGAACAAAGAGGCTGGAGAGATGGCTAAGCAGTTAAAAGGACTGGCTGTTTTTTCTTTTATTTTTCATCTTTTTGAGACAAGGGTCTCCCAATAGCCCCAGCTGGCCTGGAACTCACTATGTATATGTAGACCAGGCTGGCCTTGAACTCACAGAGATCTGCCTACATCTGCCTCCTGAGTGCTGGGACTAAAGGTGTGTGCCGCCACGCTAGCTGACTAGCTGTTCTTGTTAGGGACTCAGGTTCAGTTCCCAGCACTCATATGGCAGGTAACAACCATCCATAACTCCAATTACAGGGAATCCAATGCCCTCTTCTGGCCTCCACAGGCATTGCACATATGGGTGCACTTACATACACACATGCTGGAGGCAAAACATCCGTACACATAAAATAACTGAATCAAAAAAAATTTTTATAAAAAGAAAAAGTGAAAGAGAGAGAGGTGAAAAAAAGAGAGAGGGGGAAAGAGTGATGGAAGGAGGGAAAGAAAAGGAAGAAAAGAACAAGGGAGGAGCTAGAGAGAATGCTCAGCAGTTAGGAGCACTTGCTGCTCTTGCAGAGGATCTGGGTTCAGTTCCCAGCACCCACATGGCAGTTTATAACCATTGCTAACTCCAATGCCCAATTTTGGTCTCTACAGGCACCAGGCATGTATGTGGTGCACATATATACATGCAGGCAAACACTCATATATAGAAAAATAAATTTTAAAAAATAATGAAAAGAAGGGAGAGACCTGGTAGAGTGCTTACTTAGCATGTGTGTTGCCCTCAGTTTGACCCCTAAGTCTGGGGAGGAAAGACAACACAATAGAGGAAAAAGGATAGGTTGGGGCTGGGAAGATGGATCAGTGGTTGCTGATATGCAATAAAGTGGTTGCTATGCAAGCATGAGGACCAAATTTGTATCCCCAGAACCATGTTTACCTGTATATATGTATATGCACCACGTGTTCCAGGCAGATGTTGGATCAATCGCTTGGCAGGTGCTTGCCATCAAGTTGACAACCTAAGTGCAATCCTTTGGATTCAGGTGGTGGAAGGAAAGAATCAGCTCCTGACAGTCGTCCTCTGCCCTCCACATACACATAGTGGCACATGGGTCCGCCCACACACATATACTCACATACAGATAAATATATAAGTAAATGCAAACAAACAAACAAAAAAAAACAAAACAGGCCACTGAGTGTGGTGGTACTTGCCTTTAATCCCAGCAAGGGCAGGTGAATCTCTGTAAGACTGAGGCCAGCCTGCTCTACCTAGTGAGTTCCAGGCCGGCCAGCTGGGGCTACAGGAGATGGTGCATCTGTGATCCCATTGTTGGGGAGGCAGAGACAGAAGGACCCCTGGAGCTCACTGACCAGTCAGTCTAACCAATCAGTGAGCTCCAGATTCAGTGAGAGACCCTGTCCCCAAAATAATATGGAGAGTGACTGAGGAAGACAGCAGCATCAACATGTACATGGCCCCCGCATGCACCTGTAAGCACACATGCACACATATATGAACATGTATACACTCCATACACACATACAAATAAAAAGAAAAAGTTAGGTCAATTAAAATTTTTTTGGTGATAGAGTCTTACTATGTTGCCCAGGCAACTCCTGGGTTCAAGCAATCCTGCTGCCTCAGCTTCCCAAGTAGCTAGGGATATAGTCATGCACCACCACACCCAGCTTGAAGCAACTTTTTTTTTTTTTTTGGTCTTTTTGAGACAGGGTCTCCCTGTAGCCCCACCTATGTTGGAACTCACTATGTAGACCAGGCTGGTCTTGAACTCACAGAGATCTGCCTGCCTCTGCCTCCCGAGTGCTGGGATTAAAGGCGTGCGCCACCATGCCCAGCTGAAGCAATTTTTTAAAATGTTTGTAGCTCATACTTACCTGGCAGGGGATATACCATGATCATGAAGGCGGTTTTCCCAGGGTGAGACTTATCCATTGCAGTCAGGATGTGCTGACCCCTGAGATGTCCCCCAATGCAGGAAACTCAACCGCCTAATTTGTGGCAGTAGGAGGAGTGTGTTTGAGCACATGCCCTTAAATTAAAAAAAAAAAAAAAAAAAAAGTTTGTAGCTCATGGTATCCATTTTGTTGTGAGAACATTACTAGCTAAGTCACCCCAGGGTAAAATTACCACCTTTGGAGTTTTTTAAAGTTTGTTCATTTTTGCAGTATTGAAGTTTGAATCTAGGGCCTTGTCCACCCTAAGCTCCACCACTGAGCTACATCCTCATCCCTCTTTTGTTTTTCTGAAACAAGGTCTCACTATACATCATGAATTGGCCTTAAACTCTTCTTAAAAAATATGTGCATGCGTGTTTACCTATATATGTATATGTACCATATGTGTGTCAGGTGCCTGTGGGGCCAGAAAACATCACAAACTCCTGGAGCTGGATTTGCAGATGGTTGTGAACTGACATGTGGGTGCTGGGAACTGAACTAGGATCCTCTGTAAAACAACAAGAGTTCTTACTGCTGAGCCATCTCTCCAGCCCCGGCCTTAAACTCTTGATCCTCTTGCTTCAGCCTTCAAAATGCTGGAGTTACAGGCATGCACACTATGTCCTGCCTTAAATTCAATAAGAAATAAAATAGTTAATATGAACAAAGAAGGGTGGTCAATATTTTCTTGATTGACCACTCTTTTCTTTGTCCAGCTATTTCTGAGTGAAACATTAAAAATTTTAAAGGTGATTTTATCACTGTTGCTAACCCTAGAAAAAGCCCCTCTGGGGCTGGAGAGATGGCTCAGTGGTTAAGAGCACTTGCCGCTCTTGCAGAGGACCCAGGGTCAGTTGCCAGCACCCACATGGTGGCTAACACCTGTCCGTTATTCCAGTTCCAGGGAATCCAATACCCTCTTCTGACCTCTGGGGGCATTGCATGACACAGATGCACTTACATACACACAGGCAATACACATAAAATAAAAATTTTTAAAAAATTTTTAAAAAAGATGTTTGCTCAGGCAGTGTTTTTTTGTTTGTTTGTTTTTCTGTGTGTGGGGGGGGTTGCTTTTGTTTTCCAGACAGGGTCTCATGTAGCCTAGCAGGCCTTGAATGCTCTATGTAGCCTAGAATGATCTTGAACTTTCAATCCTTCTGCCTCCATCTCTTGAATGCTGGGACTACAGGTATATACCAGGATACTATCATGCCTGGTTTATATGGTGCTGGAAATTGAGCCCAGGGCTTTGTGCATGCTAGAAAGCACTCTACATCTCTAGCACAAGCAGAGTTCTTACAAGGCCCCTTCCCAAGACTGGTGGAAATAGCAGAAAGGAAAAGTATGCATCCAGAAACCTTTTGGAAGTTGATGCAAGGCCTTCTGGGAATGTGCAGGTTTCTAGAGAGAGCTTTTCATCAGATCCTGAAAAAGGTTAAGAATCCTAATTCTGATTTGTTATTTAACCTTCCACCAATTCTAGGCATGGCTTTACCTTCACCCTGATGCACAAGTGATACTGTGCCCTTGGGTAGCGTATCCTTGGCTGTATAGCAAAGTGGGTACGAAGAGCATCAAAGGCTGGAGCAGAAATATTCTTCCTCTATCTCCTCTTCTTTCTCATTGTCCTCCTCCTTCTCCTCTTCCTCCTTTGAGACAGAGTCTTGCTATGTACCCCAGGCTGGCCTTGACCTCAGTACATAGACTGCTGTTAAGGTCGCAGTCCTCCTGCCTCAGCCTCCCAGGTGCTCAGAATACAGATGGGCACCACTATGCTCAGCTCCAGTTTGGTTTAGACTGAACTGCCTTCTTCCCCACTCTTCACACAAGGGAAATTGGATGAGAGAGGAGGATTAAAAGGATAACGAGAAGACAGCAGCAGAATTTAAGCCCAGGCACTCTGTTTCCTTTTCATTCCAGGAGCTGTGCAACTGGGGAAAGCAAAGCCCCAGGAACAGTGTTTTCCAAATGCTCATTTGAAAACAAGGGGCGCCCGTGATTGCGATTTCACCCATTTGCAATGAAACATTAATACAGTGGGCTTTTCATTAAGCCAAATTTATTCAATCTAAAGATAATCCTTTATTCTGAAAGTGCATCTTTTCATGTTGTTGGAGGAAGAAAGATATTGGTTTGTTTTTTTTTTCTGTCTTTTTGAGAAAGGGTCTCACTGTAGTCTCAGCTGACCTGAACTCACTATGTAGACCAGGCTGGCCTTGAACTCACAATGATCCGCCTGCCTCTGCCTCCTAAGTGCTGGGATTAAAGGCGTGCCCCACCATGCCCGGCAAGAGATGTTCTTTTTTAAAAAAATATTTTATTTGTTATTTTTATTTTATGTGTATGAGTGTATTGCCTGCATATATGTGAGTGCACCCATGTCATGCAATGCCACAGGCATCAGAAGAGGGCTTTGGATTCCCCTAGAACTGACTGCAAGAGCAGTCAGTGGTCTTAACTGCTGAGCCATCTCTCCAGTCCCAGGAAAAGGGTTGTTCTAAAATGCTTTTGTTCATAAACTAATGGCTTTGGTGCATAGCAGTGGTTATGTCTTTCATTCTCTAGCTGGTCCAAAAAATATATATTGGTAATCCAAGGTAGCCCCTCCAAATTATTTCAGGAATTTCACTGCTCCGTGGAATCCCCAAACTCTGCAAATTGTGATGTTGGGGAAGGCTGGCCATGCAGTTCTTGCCCTGCAGTGTTCCTAGGCCCAACCCATTCCCACTTAAACCCAGGGCTGCTTACCTGTGCCAGCCCCCTCACCTGACCACCTTCCTGTTTATTACCTGTTTCTCCATTATTTGCAGACAATTATCTGCAATAACTAGCCAATTACCCTTAAAGACAATTACACTCCTCCATCAGCAAACACTGATGTTCTATTCTTGGGTCTTTTAATGAAGTCGATATTAAGGAGATGCTTTATTTACATAAAGTCAAATGGCTCCCTTTTCCTAGGTTTTGGTCTCAATGTCAAAGTTTTAAAATCTTATCTAGAGGATGGGTGTTGGGGGCTTTTGGTTGGGGTAGAAAAGGAAATGAAAGGACTTATTCTAGAGCTGTTTTAAAAGGTAAGATGCCCAGGGGAGCTGTACAATGTGGGGGCTTCCCTCCCCGAACTAATGAGCTCTAAAAGCATGGAATGTGCTGGGCTCAGCCCTGGGAGTGGAATCATTCGGAAGTGTCTGCCTCTGACTGACCACAGCTCCTGTCCTCCCCTCCCCCAGGCTCCTCTAGGGCTGGGAGCTAATCGCTTCGGGGAGCCAGATTGAAATGTGTTCCTCACCATCCACTGCTCAGAAAAGCTTTTTCCTAGATGAGGGCTGACCCAGACAGAACCGTGGCACCTGCCAATCAGGGGGCCAAAGGTGCTGGCAGGGCAGGATCTAGCCTTGCAGAAACAACTCCATTTACAGTCTTCATATGGAAAAGCAGATGCCATTTTCTCATGCTTTGGGCCTTACCTGCACACTTGACTTGACTCATGGGCAAAACAACAGCAAGATGCAGCTTTTTCCGAAGGTAGAGAGAGGGGGGAAAAAAACCAAAAAACAAAAAAAACACTTGAAGTCTGCCCCTGCTGGGTTTCTAAAGAGCTGTTTTCTTCCTGAGCTGTATAGCATGGTGGCTCTAATCGGAAATTTCTTTTTAATCATAGCAGGAGTCCCAATTAGCGTGTTGGGTAATCTTTCAAGTAGAACTGGGAGTTTCATGGCCATAGAGAGCAGAGGCAGTATTCTGCAGAAGCCTCTGAGCAATGGTGGAGAAGGCAGCACTGTGGGCCTGTGCATGTGTGTCAACCAACATGTGAACCTGTAGGCTGGCCTCCAAGATCCCAAGATGGGGTGTATGTACCCGAAGTTTCTTGATCCTCAATGCAGTACTAGGATCATAGGGACTGTGGGGTGTTGCTCATTATGGAGAAACCCCAGCCTGGCCCATCCGCAAGGCAGCGTGCCAACACACAGGCTTCATATACATGCTGCTGCCTTCTAAGCATCTAGGGATGGGGGACCAAGTGCCTTGCAAAACAGCAGGCACGGTGTACTGGGAACATCCCTCTGCTCTCTATGTGATGGGCTGCACCCCAGACTCAGCCACCACCCAGGGCCAGCTCTGATCTGGCGCTGCCAGTGACCTACTTTCCTTTGTTGTTGTTTTTGGAAGTGCTGATGTCAATGCAGAATTCAGTAGAGAGACTGAGTGAGAAAAAAAGAGAAAGGGGAAGGAGAAGGGGAGGGACAGAAAAGAGTAGAGAGCCAGTGTCAGGTTGGGATAATGGCAGCAAGGTTCCCATAACAGCACACTGACCCCACAGGGCCTACCCAGTCTAGCTGGGACCAGTCTGGCACTTTGCCTTCAGGCTAGGGAAACAGGGATGAGGCTACAAACAGCTTCCCCTTCCCTTCCCCCAACAGGGGGGCAGGAGGTGGTGCCCAGGACTGCATAGCCTGAGGAGCGAGGCATTTCAGGCACCTCCTCTCTTCCCTGGGTGCCCGGAGGTGCTGCATTTGCATCTGTCATGACTGCCATCTGAGAGACACTGAGCACAGCCACTTTGGCAATTGGGACTTCCTGGAGTTTCTCCACACATACTGGGGCTGAAGGAAATTGGTCTTTGGGGACACTGAAGGTAGTTTCCTCTGTTCAATGGTTCCTTGGTAACCCACATGACAGAGCTCTGGTGGCAGTTCTCTGGCTCTCACCTCCCATTTTTCAGGTACCTGAGAAATGGAAGGTTTGGGGTGAGGAGAGCCCTAGACTGTCAAAGCAGAGGCTGGGGGTGCCTGGGAGTCATTGCAAGGTTTCTCCATTCGGCAGCTGAGAACTCCAGCTTTGGGATGAGAGGCACTCTTATGTTCCTGAACCATTTGCAAACCTTAGCTGCTGAGCAGAGCCTGTGGGTGAAGCAACATCTGGCCACATCTCCTGGCCTGAGCCCTTCATTCCTCAGGCACTTGGGCAACAGTTCCTTCACGAGGAAACAATGTCAGATCTATGTTTTCATGAAATGGAAAGCTCTAGGCCTTGTGATTCCACACATACAACACATTTTCCTCATGTGCCAAAGAACCTCCATTCAGGTGGGG